AAAAAACCCCCAAGTATCTTCTTTAAGTCCCTCAAATTAAGGTAAAGAATAAGAACAAATCATTCTGGAAGAACGCAAAGGAAAATAGCTTTAGATACTTAAGTGACAATAGAATTTATTCTCATAATTGTTTTAATAGCTTTTGTTTTTAATTTTTAATAATGAAATGGAGATCTTTTTAAAGGTTAAAACATCATTTAATTTATGTCTTATAGGGTTTATACTGAGTACAATATTGTATAACTGTAATAATTCAACTGTAAGCCTAAAAATTTACAGCCAAATTTGAAAGAGATGCATCCTACTTCAGGAAAACGTTATTGAATATGTCAATTGTGTTGTAATGATATGCTTCTTCTAAGTATGTTGTTATTAAATAAATCATTTTTAAAAATTAAAAAAAAATTATTTTTGCTTTTTTTTTCCAATAGAGTTTTATGTATTCCAGATTGGCCTCAAACTAGCTACATCACCTGAGGATGATCTTGAACTTCCGATTCTCCTGCTTCAATGCTGGAATTACAGGTGTGCGCCACCATGCCTAGTTTATGTGGTGCTGGCGATCAAACTTGGAATTTCATGCGTGCTAGACAATCACTCTACCAATCAAGCTACATCCTCAGCCTAAATCTGTCTTGAATTGATGAATATAAAGTAACAAACAGGTCTAAGGATGACTAGAAGACTGCAGAAAAGTGGGAAATTGAGTCTTGTACATTCAACATTGGGTGAACCTCTTGATTGGGGGCAGCTAAGGGACTATCTGGAAGAAGGCTTCAGAAGGCAGTGAACACTAGGTGTAGCACAGGAGAGGTTGAAGCTAGAAAGATGAAATTTCATGTCTTTCAGTGCAGACTGGTGGTGAGATGTTGGGACAGAAGCTTGGAGAACATTCACATCTAAGGAAGACATATGAAGGCTAGAGCAATGGCTCAGAGGTTGAAAACACTGGCTGCTCTTGCAGAGGAGCTAGGTTCGGTTCCCAGCACCCACACAGCAACTAACAACCATCTGTAACTCCAGTTCCAGGGGCTCTGACGGTGTCTTATAGCCTCTACAGGCACCAGACATACATGCATTGCTATGTACATCATGCAAGCAAAACACTCATACACATAAAGTAAAAATAAATAAATCTAAAAACAAACAGACAAAAAAGAAGATAGATGCACAGGAGCCTGAAGAGACTGAGAATTTTCTAAGGGATAGAAAAGATTATGTCAGAAGTGCTAGAAAGCCAAGAAAAGAAAAGATCTCCAAAGAAAGAGTGGATAAGATTATTCCTCACTGCAGAAAATCCAAGCAAGGGCACAGATGAAAGACCACAGGATCGGCAACTGGGAGATGTGGGCAACAGTTAGAAAGACTTCATTATCGTGGTGGGGAAGGAGCCTGACCTCCCCAGGCTAGGGAACAAGTGGATCATTGGAAACATGTGAAGACATCCTCCACAGTCCAGAAGAAACAGCGAAAAATTATGAGGAGAAAGAGAAATAACAGAAGTAGCAAACGACAGTCACATTAACAGTAACGTTTATTACCAATAAATAACCTTTATATTGACCAGGCATTCTTCTGGGCAAGTTACAATTAATATAACTGTAATTTAATCCTCACAAAAATCCTAGGAGCTGGGTAGTATTAATATCTCCAATTTATAAACCGAAGCACAAAAATGCTAACTCAGTTATAAGGGAGTTTGGTTTAAGTACACATTTTTAAAAATAATGTTTCTATTTAGTCTGAAAATTTCACACATTTATACAATGCATTCTGATCAATCCATTCATCATTACTTCCCTCTAAGTTCCCCTAGTGCTCCCTACCTTGTCACTCTCCCAGATGTAAGTCCTGTTGTTGCTATTAATAACCCTGAATCCAGCTAGTGCTGCCTATAGTGCAAGGATATGGGACCTTCCACCAGCACATGGGTAGCCTATCATGTTATGATCATGGGGCATGTCCCCAAAGGAGACATTTTAAAAAATGTGTGTGTGCGTGTGTGTGTGTGTGTGTGTGTGTCATGAGTGTGGGCATGCATGTGCGGCAGTGCACACAGAAAGGACAATTTTCTGGGGCTGGGTCTTGCCTTCCACTTTGTTTTTGAAGCAGAGTCCCTCTTGTTTCTGCAGCGCTGAGTACTCTAGGCTAACTGGCCCTCAAACTTCCAGACAATTCTCCAGTCTCTATCTCCTAACTCACCATAGAAATGCTGGGATTACAGACTCACTCCACTGCATCCAGATTTTTGCATGGGGATCAAACTCAGGTAGTCAGGTCACCTTTGCCTACTGAGTCATCTCCCCAGCATGATATATTCTAACTTAAAAAAAAAAAAAATTAAGGTTCAGTTGGATTCGGGCAGCAGCGGCGGCCGCGGCTGGGTTCTCTGGAGGCTCTCCCAGTCTCTGAAAACATGGCCTCTGATGTGTCTGTCTCTGACAGTGTCATCAAAGTGTTCAGTGACGTGAAGGTGCACAAGTCCTCAACGCCAGAGGGAGTGAGAAAACACAAGAAAGCACTGCTGTTCTGCCTGAATGAGGACAAGAACATGATTCTGGAGGACGGTGAGGAGATCCTGGTAGGTGATGTGGGGCAAGCTGTGGGCGACCCCTACACCCCCATCAAGATGCTGCCAGACAAGGGCTGCCCCTACGGCTCTCTAAGGACACCACCTATGAGACCAAGGAGAGCAAAAGGGAGGACCTGCGTTCATCTTCTGGGCCCGAGAGTGCACCCCTTAAGAGCAGAATCATCTATGCTAGCTCTGAGGATGCCATCCAGAAGCTGACGGAGATAAACATGAATTACAAGCGCCTGCTACGAAGTCAAGGACTACTGCATCCTGGCGGAACTAGGTGGCAGCGCTCATTGCCCTAGAACGCAAGCCTCAGTGAGCCGCCTCTAGCCCTCTGCCTGGAGCGTCTCACAGCCCCAGACCTGCTCCTGGGTGCTGCAGCCTGCCCCTTTCCTGGCAGACCAGAGGGTCTGGGGAATCCCAGCAGGGGGATGGCAATCTCTCCACCCTAGTTGCCAAATATGCCCGCTTCCCCCTGGACCATCTTCTTCCCTCCATCCCCGCAGGTCTGGCCTTCCCAAACTGTTTTTGATCTTCTGATTCCACTTGGATTGAAGCAAACCAAGTTCCTCCCCAGACCCCCAGTTTAGGGGAAGCCTGTATTCTTTTTTATGAAACCCCTATTTCCCATCTGTCCCTCCCCATCCCATGCTGCCAACTTCTAACTATACTAATGACTGTGCTTGTCTGTTTAGCTGTAAACGTAATGTTGTGGAAATGACCCCTCCCTGGGGCAGCTGGTTGCTCGCCCTTCTCCCTTGGTCTTGTCCATTAGTGGAGGAAGGACCAGTAAGGGACCTTCAATTAAAAAAAAAAAAAAAAAAGATAAAAGGGCTAATTAACAAGGAAAAAAATTATACTTTTATTTATTTGTGTGTGTTGGGGTGTACATGCCATAGCATACATGTGGAAGTCAGAGGACAACTTGGAGGAAGTAGTTCTCTCCTTCCACCATGTGGGTTCTAGGGCTTGAACTCAGGTCCTCAGGTTGACAGCAAGCCCTTCAACCCACTAAGCCATCTCACCAGCCCCCATCTAACCTTTTAAAGTTCAATTTGCTGGGAAGGTGGGGAAGGAGTGAGAAGAATGAAAAATTGAAGGTGCAAGCATGAAAAGTCAAGCTCTGGAAAGGCAGAGGCCCCTGGTGGGGCAGAGAGGGAAGGGGACAGGCAGGGAAGAGGCACTGCTGACTGGTACCCTGTTGACAGCGCAGAGCCTGGAAATGAGTGCGGCAAGGATGGAGAGTGGTGTGCCCGTTACAGAAGGCTGGGAGAGAAACGGACTCGGAGCACTAAAGGACAGTCATGCACAATGGGAACCTGGTGCTGCTGAGACCCTACATTCCTGTAGGAGCTGGTCAGTGAGGTCCTGTGTGCTCCCCTTGGCCCCAGGATCTAGGGGTCTAGGCACAGGGGTAGGAGAAGTTGTGGAACCACAGGTGCAGTTTTGCTATAGAGAATGGGAAGCCAGACCTGCGAATGGAGGCCAAGGCAGGGGCCCTGTGAGCTTGATTGTCCAAAACCAACGAGACCTGGAGATGGACAGGGCACCAAGAAGAGAAAGGAAAAGTGACCTGGAGAACTGGGAACGATGTAAGGTCCTCCAAGACAGAGAAAAAGCACTGCTGTGGGGACTGGTTAAGACGAGTCTTGCTCTGTGGCAGAAGGCTGATGACTCAGGGCAAAGGGAGCTTGTGATGAGCTCTCGGGTGAACTGGAACCATTTCTGAGGGTGACTGGAGGCTTAGGATAGAACCCCAAGGGAGACAGAACCACAAGGGGAAGTGGGGAGCAATGGGTTTCAGGAACCCCTCAGCTAATCTGGGAACTTGGACACAGACATGAAATTAATCTGCACAGGCAACTGAGGAAAGAGCATCTGCTTAGGGCCCTGGGAGTGGGGTGCTGAGAGAGGCCCCTGAGGTCTGCACTGAAATGACACGTCTCTGAGACACACCAAGGGGGCCAAAAGGCTTAGGGTCCTGTCTGACAGGTGGTTAAAGACTGACTGTGTAACTGTTCCAAGTAGAGGAATTAGCTGACCTCTAAGTCAGCTGGGATTAGACAAATTTTCAGTTTCCTTCGTTTCACAGAGACTGAATGGTTGATATAGGCATGAATTTATTGACATGAGTTTTCATTAGTTATTATTCTAACACACAGAGAGAGACAGAGACAGAGAGACAGAGAGAGAGAGAGAGAGAGAGAGAGAGAGAGAGAGATGCAGAAAATAATGGTAAACCCACCAGATCTAAAGTTTGCCTGGCTTACCCCCCTCCAAGGAGGGAGGGAAGGAGGGAGGAAGGGAAGGAGGGGGAAGGGAGAGAAAGGGGGAGAGAGAATGAATCTTTTAAAAATAATCTGGAGACTGCTTTCAATTACAAGAGAAATGACAATTACAGGAAGTGATGACAGTCTGACAATTTACGCATTTTATCCAGAAACATTTATCTTATCTAGTCCAGATACCAAATCAACTACCATATAATTGACTGTGAAAATATACAAAATATTTGTTGTTCTTACATACAGAAATTAAAACCTAATTGTAAAAAGTACACAGTAAAAACAGCGTAAGGAAACCTACACTATCCATGGTATGTCTATTTTTTCCATTTGACAATCAACATCAAATTCTGTATTTGCCTTGCTGTTTACAAATATACTTTAAGTGTCTCAAGGTCATGTACATGAACATGTTCACTAGGTCCAACAACACTTCAGTTCCTGAAGGCCACTGGCACTGGCTATGGAGTCTCGGTCCTATGGCTCTGGGCGGCAGCAGCAGCAGCTCTGGAAGGGACAGTCACTGACCAGTTACTTGTAAACTATCGATTCTTGTTCTTCTTAGAATTTCCCTGTAAAAAGAAAAAACCCACAATAAGAACACAAACTTCCAGAAAAACAGGTCCAATGGTTTGAAAGGCAAGCTGTCTGGAGGTCATAATTCCCTTTGGAACACTCAGGCTTCCCAGATGAAGGAATCAATAACCGTGTTAACTTTTATTCACAATCACAAAGTTTATTACTTTTGACTCTCCCACCCTCAGCTTCCATGGACCCCATCCCTCTGGGGGGCCATGGGTAGATGACAAAGGAAGACAAGCAAGCAACCTTTAGAGCCTGGAGCGATGGTATACAATTCTCTCAAATATGGAGGTTTTGCATAACTTCTCTTTGGAGAGGTTCACTTCTTAGGAACACACTCTAATTAAATGCCTAAATGACTAGGTTCATACACAGTTTCTTCTTGTAAGTGGGCAACACTTGAAGAACACACACAGTGACAGCAAGATAATGGAAAATAAATGATGGAGGGTGTTTACTTGGTGGAGACAATGTCCACTCTACTATAATACTACAGCAATATGAATTACTAATAAATGAGGAACGGGGAGGAAGCAAAATAGAGGGATTATAAGATGACCAAAGAAAGGTTAACAGTACAACCTGAGCTGGTGAGGTCTCTTACTCAATATCAATAATGAAGATATTTAAAGGAATAGATTAAAAAGCTTTGAGAAAACTTGGAAATTCCCTAATTTCTGATGTAGCTGCAATCCAATGACTTCTGAGACGAGCGTTGCTACGCCTAATATTCACCTTGCTCACCTCACAACCAAATCCATGCACAGCTCTGGAGACTGGAGATTTTCTCTAGAATCACTATTACTTCTTTTCAAATGCTAGGTGATAAAACCAGCTTTCTCAAACTACCACTAAAACAAATGAATCCATAGGAAAGACCAGAACATGACCTTTCTACTGTGACTAGGAATATATCTGAGTTAGTGTCATCCTGCTGGGTCGGCAAGAGGCCACGAGATAGAGGGAGGCATTTGTGGGACGCACCATCCCCCACCCACTACTTCCAAGCTCAAGTTTCCTGAAGCACAAGTAACTCGGAAGCCATAATCAGAACCATATTGGCTGGTTCAATAGAGAGATGACCCTGACAAGCATCAGAGACGCCTTGCAGAGTAGTTAAGAGGTCGGTGAGTATCCAGAAACTGCGTGGAGAAATGTTACATTATGCAGACGTAGTGCAGGAACATGCTGTGTTTTCCAAGGATACCCCCACTGAGCATGAAGCTGGTCTTCACCACAAGCCTGTGAGAACAAAACCCCAGCCACATCTCTTTCCTCTCCATTCCACAGGCTGGTGGTAAAATACTGTCTGAGTTATCAAAATGTACTGAGCATCTGAGACAACACAGAACTGGGTCCTTGGTCCCCTGAAGCTTAGTAACAAAGGAAT